TGTGTGTGTCAAAAGTATCATGGTCTGTGTCACATTGTGTCACATTGTGCCACATTGCTCAATGTTGTAGTGTTGTAGTGTTGGATATTATGCCATTGTACACGCCGAGTTAATTTGCACATTAGCATTGATTACTGCCAACTGCCTGTGATCATCACAATCACAATCACATTATGTTTAGTTGTATTTGCTGACTATAGTACAATATAGTCCATTATAGTACAATATATACCAGGTCTAGTCACTATGCGACCATAACCATAACGCTGTCTTGACTCACCATGTTTGTCCAGTGTCCAATGTCCATTGACACCAAGTTCAGAACTACTTGTTTTGTCATGTCATGTCATGTGTCTGTTGTTCATTGCTTGTTGTATTTGTTGTGTTTTTTTGCCCCTATTGTTCACTGTGTTATTCACTGTGTTGTTCCATGTGTTGTTCACTACCTTGGTGATGCATGAAGTCAATAATGCAATTGTCATTAATTACGGTACCATGTCATGTGACAGTACACATGTTGAGGTCTATAAATCAACCATACTTGTCATGTGTGTTTACCTGAGTTTTAACAACATGTCAATAAAGTTATTTGATACCAACTAGTACCAACTAGTAACAATCACCTGGTTATCATCCGACATATTCGCAATCAAATAGTTGTTGACACATTGATAAACTCATATTGTCACTAACCACCTGGTTGATACTTTGTGTTGCATCCCTTATCACTTATACCTTGCTTCACTGAAAATATATACTGTTGACATGACATATTACCAAACCAAGCAACATACAGTAATGTGTCAATGTGTGGATGTATGCGATGGTATGTTTGACTGTTATGCTAATGTGACAAGTACCCTTTGGTGAAACTGACACATTTACACACATGTCATCCACATATCATGTACATGTCATGATTAGTAGCATTAGTCAACATAATGGCCGTACCATGCTAACCCTGATCAATGTAATATTGCATGCTGTAAATACATGTATGTTGTTTTGTTGGTCGTAGTTTTCAGTCATGTCATGTCATGTCATGTGTGACGCTAGTTTGCTAGTTAATCCAGTCATGTCATGTCCAAGAATCATGACACGACGGATGCTCCTGTTAATAATTGCTGTTCTGTGTTGCCAACACATATTTACCTAGTATCCTGGCAACTATTACTCGGTCACCCGTTGTTTCATTGCATCATGTTGAGTTTGGGTCCGTATTCAGCAACAAATAAACCGGTTACACCATTATCCATCAAAGCTGTGAGCTTGTCCATAATATTTCAGCTCCTGACAAGTTGGCTGAATTCCATACCGCAAATTTGTTGAAACCCAAGTATCCGTCTTGACTCCAAAGACGTTGTTGTTGAGGGGGAATAATGTGACCATCACTGACATCACTGCCATCACTGCCATGCTGACTTGAGTTAACTAGCTTGCGGATACACTAGTCCCTAACTCTGACCCTGACATTGGACATTGACCCTAACCTTGACTCGTGTGTTTGTGTTCATTACATATCATGGCTGTACTGTACTGTTGTTGTCATGTATATATACATTACTTTTCATATTGATATTCCTGTATTTTCCTATGTTTTTTGTGTTTTCCTATGTTTTACAATCATGTAGTTGTTGACATTGTGTTTCCGTCCATGTCATGTCATGTCATGTTGTTTGTATTAATTGTCATCACTGTTCATACCATGCCATATCATGTCATACTATTTCACACATATTATTGTGTTACTGTGTGTTACTGTGTGTTCATGACTGCATTGGTGTTGCATGTTATCTAGTCATGGCATGGCATGTCATGTCATGTCATGTCATATTTTCCAATCATCAACCCACCTCCCGTGATTGTACTGTTTGACGTCAATAAATATACCATACTTGTCATACTTGTTGTTATATGTCAGTGTTATTGTTGTCAATATTGTTAGTTGTTACCGACTACTAACAACCATATGGTTTTGTCACTATTCACTGCAATCATGTAGTTGTTGACACACTGTACTGTACTGTACTGTACTGTCAATATCTACTCGTGTGTTTGTGTGTCTGGTTGGCGTGTTTGGTTTGTCATGTTTCATGCCTCATATTGCATAACCATGACCATAACCATGACTATTGTCAGTATTTATTGTTGGTTTATACGTGTTGCTGTCGTGTGTGTCATATACCTGCAGTTTGTATTACTTGTACTAGTTGTACTACTTGTTTGTACTAGTTGTACCATATACTATCGTCCATGTATATTTATACTGTATTGTATTGTATTGTATTAAACTGTATTGGACATGATACAATAACATACCATATCACCACATATTGCTGTTGTACATTGTTTGCGTGTATTTGTCAAATGTATATTTAATACGCCAACACACGACACACGATACCCAACACACGACACCATATCCATATCCATATCCATGACACTGACACTGACACAATGTGTTGATTGTGTTGTATATTAATACAATTAATACAATTAT